AGACTGTTGGCTTCACAGTAAAGGCTGTGGTCTGTGGTTAGGGGGCTTGAAATTTAAGCTTGGTGTGTGTGGTGATAAGCCATTTTTGAAGTTGACAACGAACACGTTTACTTTGTCTTTGATCTTCCGCACCTTCCCAAAACAACCAAGAGCCATATCCAAGCCCACAAACTTTGCATTGGAAATGAGGTCATTGAGCGGTCTTCTATTGTTGAACTTCATTGTTCTATCCATGAGATTAGCTTGCAATTGACTCCGAAACTTACTAAGAGACAGATTTATTCAAAAACCTTTGTGTAACATGGAAGAAAATTGTGCCCCACAGGTACTGAGTGCCTCAATCTTTCTTGTAATCATATCTCTTGTTTATGCAAAGGAACTTCCTGAGGCAGCCATGGCTACAGCCTATTTCTGTGATAGGATGTGCATACTTTTTGATTGTCTAAATAGGTAAAAAATTCAAGAAGACAGGGCAAAAGTTGCGTCATGCCATTCTGAAGGGAGAACCTCAAATACTTGATTTTCTCCACCAATAACTCGGATGGATTTCAGCATGGCAGTTCCAAAGTAGGAGGCAGCCATAAGCCATCATTGAGTGGCAAGTTACTATAAAAAGTGTCCCCATGCTCTGGGATGAGCTTTCAAGCAGCCATGACTTTAAGTTCTTACTTGCACTACGCCTGCAGCAAGACACACTTGAGAACGTTTTTGGAGCTATATACGACAAATGCTGGGCTGCAACACAAACCCAAATGTGCACCAGTTCACCTCAGGACTAAAACACCTCTGGATAAAGAAACTGTTCAAACTGTCGGACAATGAAAACGTAGAAGATGACAAGGCTGACCTCCTAAAGGAGTTGCAAATATCTTCGCACCATGAAAGTTTAATTTCAGACATTGTGGAATGTCTTCCAATTGATAACTTCCCGCCACTAGAGGATATTTCTGAGCTGGCATCAGACATCAGGTCTAACATAATTGATGACTCGTCCACGTTTTTATTACGTTTGGGGCTATTTGATCAAGCTTTTGCTTGAACAGACAACTTACAGCTGTGGCTGTTCTCAGCTGCTACCGGATGAGTCTAATAACTTGACCAGGCCTCACCAGTACTGTCTTGTTCCTAAAGCACACCACGTGCGTGGAAAATTCTTCGGGAACTTAGTAGTGGCATCACAGGCTGCCTTTCATTTCATTCAGCAACTAGAAAATCACTTTCTTCCCATAATAGAGAGTGTGACACATGTTCGAGGAGTGTGTGCCGCCTTGTATAGCACACTTTGAGGTCTGGATGGTTTTCGCCTTTGCCCAGAGGAGTACCACAAAGGGTTTTTAAAATTGTTTTGCAGAATACGCTTGTGTTGACATGTTTGATTTCTTAACCGGAATTCGGACAAAGTTCGGTTGCACTCTTCAGTGGCTAGTAAGAACGAGACAGGTTTAACTGTTAATAGCGTATTAAGAGAGGCGGTTGCCAAACCAAAAACAAAAAGTGATTAAGTGAGCGGTGCAGCTTGCTCTCCAAATATTTTTTCCCCTTTTTCCAGCGAATGTGTATCACGGCTCCCTAACAAAAATATTTGTCCGCTTTCTAAAAAAATTCCATAGAAAATAGCGCATAGAGGCTAACAATATATGAAAGAAAATGTATCAACTTTTGTATCCACTGTCCATAGTTTTTTAGCCGCTTTTTTCTGAAGCCATATTTCTTTTCTGAACAATTTCGGGGAATATTTAGGGACGTTGAATCTTGTCAGATTTCGAATAGAGTTCTCATTGTTTGGTAATGGCTCGCCCGCAGTGAGTTTAAGGCTATGCAAATTTTTTTTTTTTTTTTAATTTGCCGGAAATTGGGAATTTGTACTATCCGACATGTGCTTCGCACTGTTATTATACTCTTATGACTGGTAATGATAGCGATGTCTTATTAATTTTTACACTTCCCGTACCCAAGTCGGCGTGAAAGTGAATGTATCATACAGCATGTTCTCCGTGGAAGGGTTTTGTTAACTTGGTTCCGCAAAGAATCTATTACGAAGTGTACGAATGCCGAAGTCCTTCATATTCATTTATTTTTGTGAGTATCGATCTCTTTCGTATAAAACATACAGAGCTTCTGAAGTAAATCATGTATACATGAATGTGGTCCAATAAAATGTGTTCGAACCACTTACTGTTGTTGACCCCAAAATGCTCCACCAGCCAGGAGTCAATGCGGTGATTGTGTAACTTCAATGCTTTACAATATAAAAAGAACAAGAAATATATATACTTCTGCTTTGTGAAGTTGAAATATTTTTGACACATTTTGCACGGACTCTATCGTAAAAAATGAAGCAAAAGTGTGTCAGTATTAAAAAAAAAAACAAAAAAACAGCGGCTTCGGGAGTCAAGGTGCTCCCGAGAGATGAGCGAGGCGGGGAGGAAAGAGAAAGAGAAGGGTGCCGGAGAACCGGAGCAAAAACGCCCAAACTGAAACCGAAACTAACTTGACCGGAAACGGAATCAGATTATGCTTAATACCGCCCGCTAGGAGCGCTACCTGTCCCTGGTCTATCTGGGCCGCTGGGGCCTATGGCAGTGTCCGCTCTTTACCTTGTGTATATTACTCTATGGTGTCACGAACAAAAGAGAAGAAAGAATTCAGCCCACGTGATGCATCACCAATAAAAATAAAACAATGATAAAAAAATATATATATATATCAGGGTGTCGAACCGGAACCGAACCGAACCGAAAACCGGAACCGAACCGGTATTTTTTCCGGAACTGAATCCGAACCCGAACCGTTATATTGTTATCGCGATGAACCCAAATCGGAACTGAACCGGAAAAAAAATAACGGTTACCGGCTCATGTCAAAACGGTTCGGCCACGCGCTGTCGACAATGAATGTGCTATCAATGCCATTTGTTTTTTAAGTGCCGTCAACTGACACACACCTCGCTTACATATTTTTCTTCTCCACTCAGTCTTAGGAATATAAAAGCTGCATCCATGAATCTTGACAAACGCTGCATCCATGAATCTTGACATAGGAACCAGTATCGCGCTGGTCGCGGCTTGCACGGAAGAAAGAGAATTGGAAGGCCGTGCAAAAAAAGAAAAAATCGCATCACGGGGATTTCATTTTCCTATAATCTCGTAAATCCTAAATGCTGCTGTGTGCTCATTTCATAACACGTTTCTAGAACGCGCGAGTTCTTGAAGCTTGCTTCCATCGGAATGAGAAAAGAAAAGGCTGTGGGGTTTAATAATAATGCCTCCGGTTTCGTATAGGCACTTAGAAGCTAACATATTTGTGAGACAGCGAACTCTTCTATTTTAATATTTATCCTATTACGTCCTCCTGGCGTTGCGTTCGGTGAAGTGTTTTTCATATTCCGTGTCTTGTTTAATGAAAACTTCTTTAAGGGTCTAATTTGAGTTACCGAAGGCTAGTTCAAATAAAGAAAGCTGTATTTTCTCCCCACTGTTCCTTCAATTGCTTACACGCCGAGGTGGCGGGGTAGTTAGCGAGTTCTACTTGTAAGTGGGTTTGTAAGGAGGTCGCGGATTTTACAGCTGCTGCGTCGGACCCAATTAGATGAAGTCCGAATGCGTAAACGTAGGTAAGGTAAACTTTGAGTGCACTTAAAGAAACCATTCCTGGTAGAAATCGCTGAGCCTTACACAACGATGTATCTCGTTTCGTATGTGCTAATTTCAGATGTTTTATTTGTAATTTATTTTAATGCTGCAATTTGTCATTTATAATTTCCAAACCGGTTCGCGAACCGGTTCAGCGCCCCGAACCGGTTCGCGGATCGAATTAATCGAACCGGAGCTGAACCGGAACAAAATAAATTTACCTGAACCTGAACCGTAACCGAACCCGTATTTTTTTCGGTTCGACACACTGATATATATATATATATATATATATATATATAAAAATAAAAAATACGCTATGACACAGCCGTACCGAGTACGTGCTAAAAAACGAGCATGTCAGGGAACCAGAAAATTCATCTCTTTGCCTGATAGGGTCACAGAAGGACAGCTTACACATGCTGCACCCAGCCTCGCTACCTCAACAGCCTCTAGAATTTCCTGAGTAAGCTGGTCCCTATGACGCTTAACAACCTCACACCGTTGGAAGTCGGGTAGGGGGGGCGGAAATACGACGACGAATTACACGAACGCCGACCCGCCGTCGCCGCGACACGTGTTATACGCGACGATCCCTTTCGGTTCTCGCCGGAAATAGCACCCCCTCCCCCTCCCCCTCCCCCTCCCCCCCCCCCTAAAAAGAAAAAAAGGAAGAAAAAGTGAAAGCCGTTTACAAATCCCTGTAACGGCGAATTGGAGCGCAGCTCTTGAGGAGGAGGAGTGAAGGGTACTGAGGGGAGGGTAGACCCCTCCCCCTTCTCCTCCTCCTCCCCTCATTCTTTAATATGCTCCGGGAGGGGGGGGGGGTGTCACGTGACTTCGGGGAGGGGGTCACGTGACCTTGGGGAGGCGTGACCTGGGGGTGACCTCAAGGCCACGTGACCCCAAAGGTGACCCCCACGTGACCTTGGGGTCACGTGACCTGGAGGGGTCACGTGACCTCGGGGGGTCACGTGACCTCAGAGGGGTCACGTGACCTGGGGGTCACGTGACCTTGAGATGACCTTGGAAGGGGTCACGTGACCTTGGGGGTCACGTGACCTCGGGGGTCACGTGACCTTGGGGAGGCGACCACGTGACCTCAGAGGGGTCACGTGACTTGGGGGTCACGTGACCTTCAAAGGGTCACGTGGGGTCATCTTGGGGTCACGTGACCTTGAGATGACCTTGGAAGGGGTCACGTGACCTCGAGGGGTCACGTGACCTTCAGGGGGTCACGTGGGGTCACGTGACCTTGAGATGACCTTGGGAGGGGTCACGTGACCTTGGGATGACCTTGGTTACGCCGACGCCGCTCAAGCCGGGAACGGGCCCCTAAGAGCTGCGCTCTAAAAATGTTACCCGTACCTGGGCGAGGAGGCGGTAGATGAAGACCTTCTTCTTTTGCCCGAAGCGGTAGACGCGGAAGATGGCCTGCACGTCGTGCGTGGGGTTCCACGAGGTGTCCATGAGCACCACCCGGTTCGCCCCCACCAGGTTCGTGCCCAGCGATCCTGCCCTGGTCGAGATGAGGAACAGCCGGCCCCGCGGGTTCGACTCGTTGTTGAACATCTCGATCCAGCGCTTGCGCTGGTCCACGGGCGTTGAGCCGTCCATGCGGAAGTAGTCGACGCCGGAGATCCACGTGCTGTGGCAGTCCCGCAACGGATCGCTTGGATCCACCGCCGTGGCGTCGGGCTGCACTGCGGAGGCGAGCTCGTTGCACCGCTCCAGTAGCTTCTCCACCAGGTCGAGCGTCAGTAGGCTCTGGCTGAACAGCAGGCTGCGCACCGCACACGAGCGGATGTCAGTCGACGACGACGGAACGCCGACGAACCTCTAGACCACTATCAATCTCCCTTAATCTCAAGGGGAGACGGGAGCAGACCGCGACAAATCGCAATCACAAGTTGTCCTGAGCGAAAGAGTTCAGAATGGACGTGGGGAGTCATTGCCTGTGTGTGCTGCCTTTTGTTTGGCCGTGTATATGGGCTGCGCCTTGACGATTAAAATTTCAGTTGTAAGTTCAGCGATTGGTTGTCTCCTTTCTTCCGCCCCGTCTATTTTGCTGTACATAAAGAAGAGCGACAAAAGAGTGGAGAAAGAAAGCAGACGATACGAAATACGGGTTTGTATGCCGCGATGAGTCGGAGGTAATTGTTCGTGTGCTCGTCAAATATACTTTTTGCAATGCGCGACACCGACGTTTTAATGAAAAAATAAAGATAAAAAAAAAACCCGCTAAAGACGGACCTTGCGAGTGAAGTTTTCCTGCTCCTTTGTGTATATCAGAGCTCAGCAATATGATCCCGTCGGGGCCACCGTGGGAACACCGATGCCGGCGTCTCTGCCTCGCCGTTCCAAACCGGCCCAAGTACATGGGACCATTCCCTCTCGATGACTGTATTACCAGTAGGGTTCACCGCTTGGCCGACAGCGCAGCCGAATCCGGTGACAACGCTCCAGCCACCCCGGGTATACTAAAATAATTGCTGCCAGTCATCCCAAGTCGCATCCAAACTCCCACTAAAAGTTTTACTGTCCTCCAGAAATGTTACAACAATTCGCGACGCAGCAAGGTGATATCGGCCGAGCCTCCCGACGCCGCATCTAGAGCTCACGAAGGTGCATTGTCGAATAGGAACGACCAGCAATAGACCCTTTTCAACTGTCCGCGCCAATGACTGTCCGTCATTGCTTGCTCACGTACTCTGAGCATGTATTAGACACGCGGGTGACGTCACCGTTCGGCGAGGACTCGGAGACAATCTCGCACTTCGTGAGCAAGTAATGGTGACCGAACACTAGGAACTTTTAGCAAAGAGTTGTACCGTGTTCCGCGTAATGCACTACCGGAGCCTTTGAAGCATGCTTTGAAGCGCGCGCCCCGCGGTCACGGCACCACCCGGGCGCGCGCTTGAAAGCATGCTTCAAAGGCTCCGGTAGTGCGGTATGCGGACCACGGAAACGGTTTGCTAAACGTCCCTAATGTTGCTCGATGAACTTTTGAAACGGGTCAATTGTGGCCGCTCTGGACCGAGCACCGAGATGTCGGCACCCGCAAGAAAGTTGGAGAATGTCCTTACTCTGAAGCATAGCTTATCTTGTGGTCCTAATTGGACTAATTGTACGTCTCCCTTTTCCCTACGGTCACGCCCGTAACCACGTGCAGAAAGCAGACTGCTGACTGGGAGAGTTGGCGGGTAACGTTATTTAACATTACAGCGCACGAGAAGAAAAACAGTCACGGACACAGGCACGCTAAAAGATAACAAACATTCAGCGCTGACTCACAGCTCCTGGACCCAACTATACTCGGTCTCATCCTACGATGGACTAAAGGCCAAAGCCACGGGCCGCCAGGTCCAATAACACGCTTAACATTGATTAGGGGTGGACGAATAATGCTCGAATCCAAAAGTGCCGCATCATTTCTATAGCTTCGACGCTGCAAAAAGCCTATATTTAGTGGCTTCCTTTGCAATGTAAAATTTCTGAGTCACTCAGTGCTCCTCGATTCGAAGCACTGTCCACCCGTCCCCTTATCAGTGATCCGAGACGCGGGCGCCGATACGTTCATCGAAGCGAAATACCGCACAATTTCTAATGGCGAATTCCACTGGGCATTTTGGAGCGCGCCGGGATCAATTGACCAGATCCGGACTGGAGCACACGATCCGAACGGGGTCGCGCTGCCTACGGATCCCCCGTGGAACATGACCACTGCTCCGGGATCGGCGGATGCCTTCCCGTCATTCAACTGCCCGGGAATCCCCTTTCCGCGGCTGCCGCGGTCGTTTCGAAGACGTTTTCGCAATCGCGGCGCTAACACGTGTTCGACGCACGAGCGGCAGGAATGGCTCAGGCGCTTCTAGCGAAGATTGCCGGAATGCCCGTAGCGCGGCAAATACCTCCTCTTCTCCTTCCTGGAAAACGAACCGGCTGTCGAGCCAAGGGGTAAGCAAGCGGCCATTACGAATTCTTCTGATGTCGAGACAATCTAGGAGCCCGCGACGTGCTTCTTCTGAGGCCAGATGGGCGAGATCAGGCGAGATGCCCCACGAGAAAGGAAGTCACGTGTGTGCGCCGAGGGCTGGCCCGGCTGGCTTCCGGTTGAATTTGCCGAAATCGTCGGAGCGACTTTTCTCGGATCCAGATCGAGATCTGCAGCGGGAGCTAATCCAAAACGACCAGTGAAACACGTCGGTCTCGATCCCGATCGCCCATGAAATAGGCTCGCTCCAGAAAAGTCAATCCCGGCGCGCTCCAAAACGACCCGTGGAATTCGCCATAAGTGGCTCGCGATTGGATCTGGCGGTCCGTAGCTTTTGCCTTTAGTCCATCGTAGGGTAAGACGAAGTATAGCTTGGCACCAAAAACATGATGGCAATTTTGATGCGAAAGCATTAACTGTCCAAATTAGAGAAGCCGGTGCAACATTAAAACGGCACCTCAATTCCCATTGGCTGCGACGCGTCATGTGGCCCCATAGCAATGGCGTCATCGTTGCTAAGGGGCCAGCCGAACTCCGGAGGCCAGGGGGGGGGAAGATGCCGCCGCTTCCCATGCAACCTCCTCAGAATTTACGGCGCTCCATAGGGGCCGCCATATTAAAACTTGATACCAGTGTTGCTGCATCTGTAGGTCATCTTTAAGTTAGAGCTGACGAAGAAAATCTGGCCACGGCGCAACGCCGATGTACGCTGGAAGCTAGAGCCGGTTTGCTTTCGTTGTTTTTGTTTGGTCGGACGAAAACCACGTTTGACGCGGTTTTCGAGCACATGTAGCGAAGACGTGTCCGGAGAAGTGCCCCTGTGATGTTCCCGGAAGACGGAAAGTATCATTCGTGATCGTCGTGTGTGCTTTGAAAGCGAAGGGGTCACAGGGTCCACGAGTGCGCAACCACGAGCCAAGGTTTACGACAGCGCTGCGTTGACTTCGGCGATCGCGTTCTGTTTGGTGTGTGCAACACGGCGGCGACGGCGGTGCAACAAAGAGTTGAAACGTTCGTAGTGTGTGGTGTGGTGCTTGGACGTAGAAGCCCATAGTAACACGAAGCGCAGATTGGTTATTGTGGTGTTGAGGTTCAACGGATTAGTCCCGTTTTCGTCAGCTGATCCGGTCCAGCTGGTCTGGGAAGACGCAGCGGGCGTTTTTAAAAGTAAATCTTCCTTCGTTCCGTTTCAAAATATGGAAGATTCTCGACGCATACCGTGAGTAAAAAGCTTCGGGCGTTTTCAACAAAATTACGTCATTTTAATTGAACAATGGAATCCGGATGGTTGTCCTAGATCTGCCGTTTTTATGCTTCGAGTTGTTGGTCTGCGTTTGCACAGCGACGCACACTGCTCGAGTAGATGATTCGGCCCTGCAGACGACCGGTTATACAGTATTTCAGGGAAACTTAAGTCACCTCCGATATTTTCCTGTAAATCTCGTGTGAGTTTGTTGCGCTCATCATGCGGTGTGAATAAATTAGGGCAACGTTTCCTACCTGCTATACAGATGCATGAACTGAGACCATTTTTTACGCAGTGAACATATAATGATTTTTCATTTCGGGAAGAGGTGTTGGTGAATTTATTATGGTACAATCACTTGAGAGTTTAGAAATTGGGGAGTGTGAACAAGCTTCACCCAACTTTGTCTCTTTTCTCTCTGGCACTGCTCCTAGTTTCAAGTTGCAGTTTCAGTAGACATACCTACTAGCAGGTACAAACTGCTCTAAAGCAGGTAAAAGACTGGTAAGTCAGGACGGTGCGGACTCCGTGTTTCGTGCTTTTCGCAAGGTGACTGGGTAAGTGCTTTTGCGAGGTATGCGGAACATGGAAACGATTTTCTTATGCCCCTCGTTTGCGTCTCTCCATCTACAAAGGCGCAATACTAAGCCAAGATTTATGATAACAGTGCGTTTGATTCGGTGGTCCGTGTAGTTGTATTTTACCCTGCTTTTTGCAACAGCGTGTCATGACGAAGAGCTGGAAAGTTCACGGTTTCTGCTAGGCTACCGGTTGACAGGAGCCCGCATCGGCACTCAGTGCACTTGTGCTGTTGTAGTGGCTCTCGGCCAGTGGTCTCAAACTCATTCAGGTGTGGGGACCAAATAGCCCACACCGGAAAAGTCGCGAGCCAACGTAAGACGGCGGAAGGGGGAAGGGCATAAAATTTTATAGAGAAGAGACCTCGCTCTCTATGCTTTTGGTGAAATCACAGTTTTGCCATTGAGGTCTTTCGCTTTCATGTGTTTTATGACCCCTCTGGGCCCTGCCGTGATGTGGTAACTATAATTAAAATGACACCGCCCCGCTAACGTGCTGCCATTTTTAATAAAAGAAGGGAAGATGTACACTGTCGTTCCCGAGCTCTAAACATATAAAAAAAAAAAAAAAAAGTTAATTTGGCAGTTTTTGCTTACCTTACAATTTTTATTACAACACTGAGCAAATACTTGATTTTTAATTGTGACATTTTTTGAAGGCGGGGATCCCGAGCTCGTAGCTTTATTTTTGGCGGTTGCTCCGGCTGATCGAAAGTTCGCGCAGCCGAGATGCACCCTTCAGCGAATAGCTCGCGCTTGCGGCCTGGTAGCGGAACAGTTGTACAGTACAAAAAAGCTGGGAAGCGAAACATAGGGCAAATAAACACAAATAAGTATAAACTATGTGAATGCGTTAAAAGAGCAGAGCTACTTTTCGAGCGAATATGAATCGGCGAGAAGAGATCACAACGCCGCCTGATTTTTCTAGCGCTCGAGACATGGGAACCGCGCCTCCAACCCACACTTAGATTGTAATTTTTAAGGCTCCTTTATTTGTAATAAAGTTTTCACCACCACCATCGTAGCCGGTTGCCTGCGTGCCGCGTCCCAGCGAATCCACGGGCCACATGCGGCCCGCGTGTTTGAGACCCCTGCTCTAGGCTGTTGATGCTCAAGCCTTTCACCCGCGGCTTGCCGCCAGCTGATCCGGCTGCTCAACGGTGAGGAAGCGGCGAAAGTGACCTCTGTAGTAAATGTAAATCCTTGTTCATCCAGTTATCCGGTGCCAAAGAGTGGAAGGTGTCCAACGTGTACTGTGGGCGAGAACTACGAGCGTCTTGCCTTGCTTTTGTAACCGAAACCAGAGCAGCGTACTCCAAAATGATGAAACCAATAAGTCGTCAAAAACCCGTTTTTAGGGTTTGAAACCAAGTAAACAAGACAAATATAATTAAACTTTGTTGTCTGTATGCAGGAGGACGTATGTAACACAACAATACATTCTCTTTCCAAAACGAAACGGTAAGTAAAACTCAGTCCGCCGTATATGGCAGCAACTTCTCCGCTGCAAAACCTATGCTGGCAACGTAAGCGGTTTTAATCGTTTTAATATGGCAGCCTCCGCTTTGCGCCGCGTTCCCTTTCTCTCCTTCCCCCCCCCCTGCCGGAGGCGCAGCGGTAAGGGCGGGTGGGGGACATAAGAGGACACGTGATTTCAGCACGCGGCGCGCCGAGCTTCACACTCCCGGCGCCGTGCCGAGATTCGCACTCCCGCCACTGCCTCACCCAGCGGCGCAGCAGTCACCAGCGAGTCAGGGCGGTCTGCGCTGCGCACCGCCGCACTCTTTGCCGGCGCTGCGGCCGCTTCTGCTCCTGTCGGCGCCAAGGAGAATGGCGACGCCTGAAGCATCTGTATCGTCGGCGGCCGCAACCTCGGCAGTTGCGAAATGTGGCCGTCCACGCCAGTACACAGCAGACGAGCTAAGGGAGCGGACATTAATCCTTTCGCATTCCCAACTCATAAGAACTGCTGAGCTGTCCTCGGAATTTTTTAATTGGCATCTCGTTCTTAGTGCATAGAAGAGGAGGTTGTTCCGTGTATGTAGAATAACAAGATAATCGATACAGACCAATAGTTGTGAGTCAGCGCTGAGCGATTGTGTTAAATTTTAGTGTGGCTGTGAGTGTTCTGGTGCGCTGCAACGTTAAATAGCAGAAAGCAGGGTAAGGTGACGAAAGGAAGGCGGCTGATTGGTCCGGCAAGCGCGCAGCTCCCACTGCCCCGTCAACTTGGGGGTGACCGGAGTACAGTGGGGACCAATGCCACCTCCCCTGGGGAAACAGGGGCTGTTGCAGAAGGTGTCCAACCCCCCAAGGCATTCTACCGAACTCTTGGCAAGCCGTTCTACAGTCTCTACAATGCACCGAGAGAAACTGTGCAAAGTCTGATGTGGTATCCTAAAGCCAAAACATCGAAAAAATATAACACTGAGCAACGTTGCGTTAAGTTGCAATTTTTTCTTCCGGAGACTCGATTTTAAGAGAAGGGGCTCGAAGAAACAGCTTTATGCTACGCTACAGTCCCTCTAACTCGAACTCCTGTAGTGTAGAGCTTTTGATGGACACCACGCTTGCATTTAAGAAACCTCTACAACTTCGGAAGGTATTCAGACTCGCGCGCTTTTATTGCACGCACAAAATTTCATGGTATGTCGGTGGAAGAAGACACCTACACAGCACTTTACACCAACGAAGAAGTATCGGGTGTTAGGAGAAAAGAGCTCTGCAGGCTTCTCAAAAACAAACAAACATATATTGTAAAATACCGCAGAAGCACCCGCTTTGTTGAAGTGTTCACTATTAAAGGGATGCTGAACATAAATTTTGATTCCACAAAACACGCGGTAAAGGTGTGCAACGGGATGCTACAAACACCAAAACAATACTCATACAGCGATATCTCGAACGGATGACCGTATTTTTGAAGAAAAAGAGGTGCATTTGACAGAGATGTTCACGTCATGTTTCTCCGAGAAAGAGAGGGAACGGCCTCGTGTCTTCTCCGCCTCGCGGCCTTGAGGGAGCGAAGCGAAGAAAGGAGGAAACTAGGTATCTCACGTCACGCGCCTCGTCGGCCTGGTTCAATCTCGGCCTCTTTTTCCAAAATTACGGCCGCCCATTCGAGATATCGCCTTACGAGTAGTGTTGTAGGGAATGTAGCGTCCCGCCTACATCTCCAGCATTGTTTTTTCTGAAATACAAATTTCGGTTCACCATCCCTTAAACATTCCCCGAACTTGGGAATTCTGCAAATGAAACTTTAATCGCCCGATTTGACCGGACAAGCGCCCATGTCTAGGTTAATCCAGTTTTCAGTGAAAATTATGTGGGCGCTCCCCCGGTACTTTACGGTAGGCGTCGTCGAACGCTCAGACATTGAGCGCTCAGCATCTGATCCCAGCTAGCATGCTGCGATTGGATGCCAAAGTTAAAGAACTTCGTTCTCTCATTAAACGTTGTAAGTGATTGTCCGAACTTTTCAACGAGGAAATGGCAGTCAACGCAGCCCGCCAATGCATGCGGTTGAATGGTGTCCCCTACAGGCAACGGGCTCCCTTCCTTCGTTGAACATTTCTTCTGTAAGTCGGTTATAACTTTTTCATTGAATCACGGTAAGTTTCAAAACTTTGGCATCCGGTCCCAAATACTGGCTCTACGTTTGGGCAAAAACTGCGCACTCGGCGACGCATAGTTTATTGTGCGGAGAGAAACGCGTGGTCCTCTTTATTCCCAAGCACCCGACGAACCAGGCGCAATGTGTCGGCGGCCCGATACACTCACAGTTTGTCCCCGATGGCGCCGCACTCGTGCAAGATGTTGTGGAGCAGGATCATCTTGCCGCTGACCTCGTACATGTCCTCCTCCGAGACGCAGTGGTGCCACCATTCCTCCGACTGAGGCGAAGGAGTCGTTTCTTCCCCGCTAGATTCGCCGAGAGCCGCTGACAACGAAACCAAATGGATGAGAATGACAGGGCGCCTCTTCCCAACGCCCAGCACACGCTCGTCGCCTTTTGCCCAGCATAACTGGAAGTAAAACGACACTAGCCAGCAAAGGCAGACACAGCCGAACTTGTAACTTCGAGCGAGCACGCAATTCGAAAAACGCGAAAAAAAAAATCACACGTAAAAGCGTTATTGCAGATGCCCCTACCGAGAAGCCAGGTCGGCTAACGAATATCACCTGGGATCCTCGTTTTCCAGGTTTTGACCACCTCGTCTCCAGTCTGGTGCCCGCTGTCCTTCCTGCAACCGCAAGGAATGTTTCCGTCGCGAGGAAAATAATTTTTGTGAGCTCTGTACATTAAATTGGCATCGAATCAACGTCGATCGACTTGACGTCTCGTTTCGTTCTATGGCATTCTCGCGCAGTCGAAACCTGCAGCGAATCGAATGAAATAGCAAGCGCCATCTGCAAATTATTTGAATTTTCGCGTATCTTCACTAGCAACTTATAGCAATGTAAACAGAACTGCACTTCGCGAGCAAACTGCAGTGTGTCCCAAACTTGGAACCAAAGTTACAGTGCTTGATTGTCAAGGTCGGCCCTGCCCCGCAGCGGCTAATAGCAACTAACAACCGCAAACCACTTTGACCGATAAGAGCAAGTTCAACTCAAATGAATACTACAGCCCCTCTTTTCTTCTTTTTTTTTTAATTCAATCTTCGGAAAATTCGACCTAACTTCAAGGTCTTGTCAAGGTCAAATTATCCAAAGATTATTACACATTGTTATTCATTTGTACAATGTCACATACTGTAAACGACTTTATCTTTGTTGGCTTAATATCGAACAAATTTTGTAAAGAGTGAATTTCAGAAATACTTCGCAGGGCAAAAAATTCCGCGATATTATCGCGAGAACCAATGTTTCGCAATATTTCTCGAGCCACAAAACTGAAGAAAATTAGGTTCTCGCAAAAAATAAGGTGGAACCTCGACCACGCCGTTGTCTAAATTACGAAAATGAGGGACATCGTAGACGATCGACAATCGTAGTTTATCGTCATCGCGCAGTTTATCGCGTCGGTCAAAGCGGCAAAAAGCTACATGCCCTTTGCTGGTGGAGGGCTTGTCTTGGTCGAGGTAAACGGCTTCTTCGTTGCTGTCGCTTTGGCTGCTCGAACTCTCCGAACCGTCGTCAATGCTCGAACTCTCCGCACCGTCATCAATGCACGAACTCTCCGATCCGTCGTCGATGAAAGGGGACATCCAATCGCTCGATTCATCCTGAGCGAGAAAACAGACGGATGTCTTTCGGTGCTTGGAACGCGCCTCGAAACGGTGCGTTGACGACGTCCTAAATAAACTGCGGTGGCTTAGCTCGGCTATGCCAGGATATACGTGGCGTGAGCTTATGCGCACAAAATGAGAGGCGCTCTCAAGCGGCTCCGGGGCAGCGTCAGACTTGGCTACTGCTCAACGGAGGCGGACAGCTGGGCACGCGGTGGCGCCAGTGCGTCTGCCGCGGCTATGACGTCACTCCTCTGGAATGTGAAGACCGGCGAGGCGGGCGCGGTGGCGGCAGAGCGGGCGGCGGCGGCGGCTCCGGCGCGCCAGTTGTGCGCCGTGTGACGTCACTGCTCCTCGCGCATGCGCGGCACGGAGCACGGCTCATTATGCGAGCCACGCGAAACTGCTCAACCCCGGCCAGCGTAGCTCACGCTACAAAAGTGGTCCCTCAATTTTCGCGCAACGACATTCCAAAAGTGTCGTCGCCGGCCTCGATCCTGGCGGCGTAAGCAAGCCATATCCCGTACAGCACCTGGCCGCGCCCCCCGTCACGTGACATGACGTCACTTCCGCTAAAGCAATTTGCCATGTCGCGTGACATGACGTCTCTTCCGCTCCAAAATGAAACCAGTTGTTTTATTGGTTTGTGAAATGGTCACGTGACATGACGTCCCTCGCGCTGCTGTGGTAAGGCAAACATGGCGTACGCCGCCGCCTGAAGCACGAAGCCTACGCGGTCGATGAGATGCAGGCACGGCTGAAGCCTGAAACGCTTGAAATAGGAAGCCTACGCGGTCGACGCAGTCGCGGCTGAGGCGCTGTGAACGCGGTGCCGCGAGGTGTCCACAGAAGTGGCATGTCCAAAATTATACCTACTTGTGCTGTGCGGAACATTTTTTAGCTGTGCTCGGAGATGTCTTCCTTGCGCCAGGGTTGTGGCTTGGCATTGATGAACCTTTTCATGCCTTGTGTGGGTCGTGTTTGTGAATGTGGCGAACCTCTGCCGTCTCTGGAGCCCGGAAGTGTGGAGTTTCTCGTGTGTGACATACTCCGCAGCAATCACAAGTAGTTGAGCCCTATCAAAAGTGAGATCTGGCGTGGCGAGAAAGTGTCGCTGAATGGCTTCCTCGCATACCCCACAAACTAACCGGTCGCGAAACTTGTACGAAAATGATGTCTACTCGCAGTGCTGAGCGACACGACGGAGCACAGCAATGTAGTCGGGCACAGACTCGCCGGCAGCATTTGTTGAGCATGAATTGGTGACCAGTTACCAATGTTCTTAGCCCTAAGTCTCTTCAAAAGCGGAGAAAAAAATAAGAGATTGAAAGACACACGGAGGGTTCACATGGGCGGCAGAAGACTGCACGCTTCATGTCGTCGTCCACGAACTCATCAGGCAGCAAGAAGAATTAAAGTCCAGCTGCTCCCTAACGTGTTTTCATTCTTGTGATACGAATGCTGGGTGCCTCCCCTGTTGTTTATGCTCATTGCCACATGTTATGTATAAAAGCAGAGGTTACATCCAATCAAACTGTCTAGATTAATGAAAGGAAAAACACAGCTGCTCATTCGAACAAATCCAATCGAACGTTTGCTCTGTGTTCAGGATTGTTCGGTGCGATTTCGGATCCAACACAAGTTTTTAAATCTCTGCTTGTTTTGCAGCCGTGTTAGTCTCGGGCTCTTGCATACAAGTGCGATGTGCAATTCCGACATGGTGCAATCTAAGTAAGAACAGAAGAGGTTTATTCATTGTTTGCAGCGGAAGGGCATCAGAAGTTAAGGCTGTTTCACACACCTGCAACTGCTACGACAGGAATGGCTTGAAACCGGTTTTAGGTCTCTTGTGACTGACTGGTCAGCCACTCTGGTCATAAGCTGTTGCAAGTGTGTGAAGCTACTTTTACATGAATAAGCTATAGTAGCTTCCAAAGTTACGACAACTCTCATGTGCCTTATACGTTTGAGGCGACATGCCCGTCTGCTTTACCCTAGTTCTCGAGAGAAGCTATTATTTCCATTCGTCAGCTTCTTTTAATGTTTATGTGAGCTGTTGCTTTTAAGTGTGAACTTGCCATTTTGCTTTACAGCTCATAGCCATATCGTTCCCACGTCTTCACACTGTTGATTTTTGCATGTATGCGCATCATATAAAGGCCCCGGTTGTTTCGAAGGGACAGAGGAAATAGCATTCTTTGAAACCAGCATTGCAGTGCAACAATATATTTATTGAGGTGAAATAAAAATTTCCCGAGTTCGAAGTATGCACTCTTGTTGTTTTTTTTTCTCTTCATAGTTCCACTGGGCATCCGTATCGTCATATGCGTACCTCTACCATGAGAGGTTCTCCAATCGCACGAGTGTTTCTGACGGTTACTAAGCTAATCCCTTCACCACTTCCCGAATTGGCGGTTCGAGCGTCGAGCAGCTGTAGACAGCCGCATTTATTTTGCATCAGGAGAGCCGCGGCACCGCTCAAAGGCAAGCACAAAGATCTGCGTCGCCGCGAGTAACGGTGATGCGATGACAACGTACAGGCGAAATAAAAATGCTGGCAATACTTCAAATTGAGCTTGTGGGTCAGCGTAAGCGTTCGTGACGGCAGCGTATATTTTCGTATAAAAAAAGGCAAGCGTTCATGCATGACATGGTTCACATCCACCCCGTCGGCGACGAACCTGCTCAGCAAGAATAAAGTCTACACCAGCGGCGACATCGAGAGAAGGCTCGACTTCGGATACCAGCGGTAGGCACTGGTAGCTTCGCTCTTACCGAGCATACTTGCGCCTTTTAAGCACTCCTGCAGAAGCACGATGCGAGACGTCGCATACTGCGGGCGTCAAATAGTTGCGTCAACAAGTGTTCAGTCCCTCGCGCCACCGCGTTCACAGCGCCTCAGCCGCGACTGCGTCGACCGCGTAGGCTTCCTATTTCAAGCGTTTCAGGCTTCAGCCGCGCCTGCATCTCATCGACCGCGTAGGCTTCGTGTTTCAGGCGGCGGCGTACGCCATGTTTGGCTTACCACAGCAGCGCGAGTGACGTCATGTCACGTGACCATTTCACAAACCAATAAAACAACTGGTTTCGTTTTGGAGCGGAAGAGACGTCATGTCACGTGACATGCCAAATTGCTTTAGCGGAAGTGACGTCATGTCACGTGACATGCCAAATTGCTTTAGCGGAAGTGACGTCATGTCACGTGACGGGGGGCGCGGCCAGGTGCTGTACGGGATATAGTTTCCGTCCGCGGGTCGCTCTACGAAAGCTTCGGTGGCCGAGAGTCGTGTGGCACGACGACGGCGACGGTTGCGTTCGCTTTTACTTTTAATGGGAAAGCTTTAACTAGAGTTCCTGCATAGGCCCCCTACGGGAGCTAGAGTTGCGCGTCCGTTTTCCACGTGATGTCGCGCCGCTATTCACCGAGATCCGATCACGTGAGGATCCGGATCAAGTGCAGTGCAGGAAAATAGACGTTGCACGCGCCCCGACAGTACGCTTCCCTGCTTTTGAGTGTGCCGCGCGCCTCGAACGCGCGGCGCCGCTATTCGCCGAAGTCAGTCACGTGAGGAGCGGGATCAACATGCCGTGCAGGAAAGACGGCGCTACGGGGAGGAACGCGCAACTCTGGCTCCCGTAGGGAGCCTATAGGGAGTATTCACTGGACGCCATATTTGTGGGTGCTGTTTAGAGCGCATGCTCAGAACGAACTCAAATTAATAAGCTGAAAAGACCGGCACTCTCGATGGTGCGGAATGCACGTTGCAAAAGAAATGTGGAAGCTCGCCGTCAGCACGTGCTCAGAATTCGCGCACACAGCTATGGCCGCCAGCGAATACTCCCTATACAGGAACTCTAGCTTTAACTATCCAGCGGCGTCTGGAACCGCCAAAGAACGCGAAAGAAATGCCCATTCTTCCATTGGCTGATCGAAACGGCTCAAGATAACCAGTGGCGGCCGCTTCACAAGAGCGCGCGCTCGGCCGCCGCTTTCGTGTCTGGCGTTGCCCGAGGTAAAGCCTTTGTATGTTTTAAAAGTAGGGCAAAATGCGTCGGTGCACGAGGCACGTTCAACATGCAGCACTTGGAAAGATCATCGCGACACAGCGCAGCACAGAGCTAGATTTCAGACGCCATATTCTTCCAAAGTGGCGCACGGCACCTGTCTCGAGCATTTCCACAATGAATGGCGCCACTTTTCCCAGGATAGAGGGGCTTTAGCCAAAGGAGAGGGAGGGCCCTCTTATTGCCGAGGAACATGGCGGCGCCTGAGGCATCTATATCGTCGGCAGCCGCAACCTCGGCAGTAGCGAAACGTGGCCCTCCACGCCAGTACGCCGCAGAAGACCGTCCTCTGTTAAGTGGGGGCGACAGGGGACAGGGCAGGGTGTAACACCCTGGGACAGGGTGACAATCGTCGAAGCAAACTTTACCGGTGTCGTCACCACCGTCAAAGTGCCGTCCCGTCTCATCCTCCCGCGAGTTGGCACTTCCGAGTTTGCTCGAACGTTAATCTCCGGAAAAAGCTCGACATGTACACCAGCTTTGAACTTTGCTTCGCCTCTCGGGGCTACGGGCTCGTGCTCTCTTTCCTACGGCACCTCGAGTAATCCACGGCGAGGTCTCGGATGCAGCCCAGCCGGTGGCTGCGTTGCCCGGAACGTGTTTTCGAGCGGTGTGCTCGGCGTCCTATCCCGCCCGCACGACAAAAGGGGCCTCAAAGGGGCGACACAACGACATCACAAAGGCCGGAGTGTCACGGCGTCGGATGTCGCGATCCCGGCAGTTGGGCGTAAAAGTTCTTTCAAATAAAACTTCCGAGGACACGTAAGCACTTTTAATGAGTTGTGAATGCGAAAGCATGGAAGTCGTTCTTCCACTCCCTTAGATAAGCTATAGAAAGCTAAGCTATCGACACCTATAGAAAAAAAATAAAAAAAGATGTACGTGCTTTTTTGTATCGTCGACCAACATTGCGCGAAAATATCTGTGCCACTTCCGCTAAACGCTTCTGGGAAGTGTACGTGCCACGTCTCAGTGGCGCGAAAAGTTTGTTTAATAAAGAAAACCTTTTTCATTTGAAAAGAAAACCAGTGTTTGGCAGGAGTTTGACAAGTTCAGTCTGTCCACAAGTGGCGAATTTATGGGCGTGTGAAAGAAATATGAAATGCTCGGACTTATTCTACCGGAGCAGATACACACCGATGCGCATGGCTATGATACCGCAACTTATGACTGCAGGCGACGATCTGGCACTTCCGCTTCTTATTTTCTTCGCATCGGTTCCAGAGATTTTCAGTCGCCGACCGATGTTTCGGACGCCGACAATTCGGACTTGTTCATTATTTCGGACCTAAAGAAGGAACCGTGACCTGCCCGATAGAAATAGTGCCTATTCACAACCGATGTTTCGGACAACTAGAGGACCGAAAGTTAAACTTTTAGGACAAAATCGTTGCGAGTGATCAGCAGGAAACACCACCGAGAAGCGGCCATTTTACATTCGATGTAAACTGCACATAGAATGGCTTGGTTTGGCAGCGCTACTTGAGTACTGCTAAGTTCTCCCACTAGGTGATGCTGCACGGCTTTCTGTTCTCTTGTTGCGCATCATTATCATCATCATTATTGTTACCATTTTGCTTTGTTCATTCGCCATTGCGGTCGTGGACTTCCGCCTCTCATCTCGATATCGTTTCGGTGAATTGTGTTAAAGGTGTGTCCAAACAGGATAGTACAAAATGCACGACTCCGACAAATCGTGCAGCGCTCTGCTTTCGGTTTTTTTGTATTTTTTTTTTTTTTTTTTTTTGCCGGGGGGGAAATTTTTTTCTGTCAAATCTGCCGGGGGAAACTTCCCCCGTCAAATCTCCCCCTTGAAGTTTGATGGGGGGGGGGGGGGGGGGGGGGGGTTCCCCCGGCAGATATGACGGGGAGAAGTTTCCCCCCGGCAAAGAAAAACAACCGGAAGCGGAGCGCCGCACGATTTGTCGGAGTCGTGCGTTTCGTAGCATCCTGTTGGGACACCCCTCCGCTGGCTGGACATCATTGCCCCATCTGTTCTTCCGCCGCCGCGATGCGTCGCTAAGAAGCGCAGAAAGTACTCGACCTAATTCGACCATAGCGCTAGAAAAGAGGGCAGCGATTCTCAAGCTAATAGAAAGTTGTCCAACGAAAACTGAGGCGTAACCTGAAATAAGGCGCGCAGGCGTAATCTGAAGCAACTCACTATTTACGGTTTTTATAAGCCTGCTTAGACGTCATAAAGGCAAGTTTTTTTAAATCGCTGAATTTTCGGACCGCTCTATTATTATGAGATGTTTTCGGTCCCTGCGAAGTCCGAAAAATCGGTCGGCGATTGTAATCCCAAGTGGCGGCCAAGATGTGTTCACATGAAAGAGAGTTGATGAACACGGCATGCTGAGAGTCGTGTCCCATTTATCAACTCCTTCCAAACGCACTTATGCCTGCCTATACTCAACACCAGCGTTTGCGCCACACTAAAAAGGACAGCACCGTTTCTGCAGTGCTCCAATGCTGCGGGACATCTAGAATATCTGGCGCCTCCGCTCGTGGCCCCTCCGCTAGGTGGCACTTGATACGCAATCAGGTGAAATTCCCTTATATCGGCAGGCATGGACAGAAGCGACGGAACCGGTGTAACGTAGGATGCACATTGCCTGCGGAGGAAGGAGTTCTATCGTGGCTTTTATGATGAACATAAATTCCACGCAAAACATTTATGCAAAGTGAGTGTCGTTCGAGAAAACGGTCCTTCTCCGCCACCTCTGGGAGCGCTCACTGTCGTGGCGCTAGGGTCGCTGTCCACTTGCACCTGCTCACGGAGGGCAACAAAGGACAGATTTCGAATGACGCTCTTCCGTGGAGCTTCTCAACCGATATTCTTACGTACCTCATTATTGCGGTTAATACATCATTATGATATGTTGCCCGCTGAACTTGTAGAACTGCAACTGCTTACAGCTAGCTGTCAAAAAAGAGCTTAGACAGTGGTGTTCCGGGACGGAACGCCACGGAAACTGTTAAAGAACACATGCAAAGGAAAAAATTTTTTTTTTTAAACAGCTTACATGGAAAAAGGATGTCATAAAACAATATTACAACGAAGAAATACATTTTTAGAGCTATATTTCAGCGCTATACGAATTAGCGCTATACGAAAAGTGGCCCTTATTTATCACGTGACTGGCCCTTATTTATCACGTGGTGCTTGCGCTCTTTCGGAAGCTTCGTATGGCGTCTAAAAGTAACTTATTCATCCTTGTTTGAAGTGTAACAAAAAAACAAAGATTAATAGGTAACTTTTAGACCCCAAAGGAAACTCTTGAAAAAGCGCAAGCAGACGTGATAGATCTGTGCGCCAGTCAGACGATGGCGGCGGCGACGGCGGCGTGGAGCAACGCGTTGAAGCGGCGTTCGCACAACGTTCAGCGTGCGGCGGCGCTTGACTTGGCGGCGGCGGCGACGCAGCGCGGCGGCGCGCGTCCCTACCACGTGACCAGTCGCGGCTCTTGCGGGTGCCAACTACAAATTCGTATAGCGCCGTAAATATAGCTCTAAAAATTTTCTTTCTTCGTTGTAAAATCGTTTAATGACATCCTTTTTCCATCTAAGCTGTTAAAAAAAATGACGTACTTTAGAGGACAACCTGTAGAAAAGAGTGCACATATTCAGAAGAAGGAAAGAAATTCGAAACGTGCCACCAACCGGAATCGAACCCACGACCCCGTGATCGCGAGCTCGACATTCTACCACTGTACCAATTGGAGACAAGAGGCAAAGCCGGCTTACTTCGTTTCCATCACGGTGGTCTCTACTAACTGGTCGAACACGAATGCCAGACACTGACATTCCCGTTCGGCGTTCGAACGGGTCATAGGACGAAACAGGAAATCCAGGACGTGCTCACCATCACATAAGAAATGACAAAGTTTGGAATAAAATACCACGCTAAAAAACAGGATTTCGTCTTTCCGGATAAATTTGAAGAAGTCCGATTAACACTCTCCGGTAAATTTTCCGTCAATTCCGATCTATTCGAAAAACTAGAATTCAATTCCGATCTATTCGAAACTAGAAGAAAAAACGAAAAACAAAAATATAAAAGACGTTGTTTCAGAACTAAGCTTTATAAAAGCGCGGGTTCAGTGGTCCTGGGGAGACGCCACTCCAGTTTCCTTTGATATTTATAACTACTGGCAATAGTAGTTTTCCTTTTAGCACGTCGGGGTTCCTTCACACCAACGGGTCATGGTACCCCGGCTTTATTATTTTTTTTAATTTTGTAATGTATAAAAACACTATAAAACAGGCTGCGAATTACAAAGAATTCTGAATCTAACAAAAATAAGCTCCTATAAACCCCGAATTTTCAGCCAAAAATAAACTCAGAAAAAGCACCCTCTGAGTTTCACAAGAAATGAACTTTTGAAATCATAAAATGCTAACTATCAAAAAAAAAAAAAAAAAAAAAAAGGTGGAAATTGTTGCTGTTACCACGTTGTGTGAAACGCGTTAGCATTTGACGCAGCTGATGCATTAGAAAAGGAACAATGTCGCAGAGAAACATTCTGCGTGTACCGACTTGTATCCGTAGGATCAAGATATATCGAGCCTTTCAACACGATCGTTATCCAAGAACGTTGGTCTGACCTCGAGGAGCTCCTTGGCCCTGGCGCGCTCGGCGCTCATGACGAGCAGCGCGGGGTCGGTCCAAATGTTGCGCAGCACGTTGAAGTCCCAGAACAGGGACATGCCCTGGTTGGGCTTGCTGTTGCGGCCCCCTCTGGCCAGGTGGTCCAGGAAGTGGCGGTACAGCTGCACTTGCACCTCCGACAGCCGCACGCTGATCACGTACTCGCACTTGGGTGGCAGGAAGGGCTTCAAGGCGTTGTAGTCGCAGCGCTGCGCACGATTGAATCCAATATGGGAGTTTTACGTGCTGAATCATGCCCCAGCAAAGGACTGGGAATTCGTTTGGACCACCTGGGGATCCTTAGAACTGCAACCGAAAACTCGTTTACGTTTTCTCTGCAATAAGCCTCCATCGGACTGCATGCACCTCGGCCAGAATTCAAACCCGCCACCTGGGGATCTGTGGGCCGGCGCTTTGCTCTGAAGCCACCGAGCCATTTCCCCCTTTTTTTAAATGCAATGGAATTTCTGAACAAACCTTGCACTTTCCCATCTATTGTTTGGTTTGGAACCAACCAAGCAGCATCTATTATATAACTAATTATATTATACATACAGGGGGTGCTGCACTCAACAAACACATGGCTTGCACACGAGGTCATCCAAAGAGCGCTCAAATGGTCACCAGAGAAGAGAGGAAAAAGGAGCTCTCTTCTTACCAGGACCCTCTTTTGTGTCTCCCAGATTTTCTCAGACATTGCTATTCACCTCCCAGTAGATTATAGAATATTAACCCGTCGCTCAAAATTCCAGCAAAAGCAGCTTTCCTCTCACCCTCTTTCATGTTGTTCAAAAGTATGCGATGTGACGTCAGTGCAAGCCATGTATATGATATGATAAGTTAGCATCTGAATGGCAAATAGAGCCGCAAAGCGTCCCATAATGCTCATATACATATAGTATGAGATACATTTGAATTGCAGTAATGCTACGATGAAAGTCGGTTGTTCGCGGAAGGCATGTCCGCAGGAAGTAGAGAGTTAGACCAGAAAATCGCAATTGGTTTTAAATGTAATGAAATACTTCCTGAAGATCGCCAAAAATTTAGCCGAGAAATTTTCTCGGCAAATTTGGCGGATTCACAAGCACGCCTAAAAACCTCTCCAACAACGGCTGTTGCCGCAAAAGGTCACCGACCTGGACGCAACCATTCAGCAGGCGATGCAAGACGTGCACCCGCCTCTTCATCAGCCTTACGTCCAGGGCCGTCGAGTCGGCACACTGGCCGTTGGCGATCGGGTTCACAAAGCGGTTGGTGAACTCCTTCTTGGTTCCCAGCAGGTTGGGCTTCACGAACTGCACCATGCAGTGGTCTGCAGGAAACAAAACTTCATATCAATATCTGGGAGTTCATCTAGCTACCAATCTTTTCTGGAAGGATACCATAGAGTACATTTCTAACCGATCTAACAAATCTTTAGGATTTTTAAGAAGGCCTTTGTATATGGCAGCATTAGAAACTACACTAATAGCATACACTACCCGGGTTAAAGCTAAGTTTGAGTATGCATCTATAGTTTCGAACCCGCATTAAAATCATTTTATTGACAGGCTACCCTTAGCAAAAAGAGGCCGTACTTCAAACGAAGTTGAAATATATTTAGTACGAATATTCATTTTGTATTTATTCTGTATTATTTTGGCCGCATTCGAAATACGCGCGTAATGTATTCAAAATACATTATAAATATGAATCAAAAAATATTTTAGATATACCAAAAATATTATTCCTTCACACTCAAGATGCCATTTGTGGATTAAAAACCGGTTACACAATTTTTTTTTTATTTTCGATTTTGTCAGCAAATGATGTCCCTGTGGTATTTGAAGGCACTACTAAATACATCTCACAAAGCCACATTGGAAACGAACACGAACACAAACACCATGACGCACTGAAGAGCTCATTCACAGTCCCGTTGACTGCTCTAGAGCCTTATATAGCCTACATATTGAAGGTAATAATTTTTTCGGTGACCACCTCTGCGCTTATTAAGGTTACAAGTATTCGATCTTCTCCTCGGGAGTCTGTCAAGGGGGAAACAGTGTTTTGAAGTTCGTGGACGATATCTCTTACTAAAAAGCATTGGTACAACTAATAACAATTCGGCACAGTCCCTAAAACAATATCCACACAAACGGCTCATAAAATACATGTTATTGCTTCTCTGCGTAGCACCACTCAGGGCGAAGCGAATCAAGGCAGTTTCTTCACTTTAAAATACTGTAAACGACTTTATCTTCTTGAGGACCTAATTCTCGCAAAGTTGGCGAATCGCCTACAATTCCGAAAAATAGGTCCCGTGAACAATTCCGGCAAAATGTAAAAACATTAAAATCTATATTGCGATTCCAGCGCGTCGCGAAAATTAGAATTTGCGAATTATTCCAAAACTCCAACTTTGACCTAAATCGCGAAATATTGAGCCCGCGAAAAATAAATATTTTACAGTAGTTGTTTTGCCTTTCCTTTTTAGTAGTTGACTATTTAATATGGTAGTTAATGTCACTGTATTAAAGTCACTATTCACATCACGTACAATGGTGAGTATACATGTTCAGTGAACTAACATTGTGCTAACAAAAACACGCCAAACGTATCTGTTCACAGCATCAGCAAATGTTGTGGTTGTAGCTCCCGAACCCCGTTTGTGATTGGTGTGCAAGGAACTGATCAGGTGTGTTCTTGATAGAAAAAAGGAAACAATAACATAAACTGGGCTGATTTATCAGTGCGATGCTGCGCAATTCAATTGCCAAACTAATCAAATGTATTTAGGCGCTTCAGTGTACTCCATATCTGCTTGAAGTGAACTTCAGAAGGGGAGCTTTTAAATATTTTGGTAGTTTAAGTCAAACTACCAAAGTATTGCAGTCAAAAGGTACTTAGAGTATAACACAACAGTATTTACGATTTTCGGGTATTTTAAGAGTATTCTGCACGTATTCTTGATTGCTCCATTTTTTTAGGGTTGGAGTATATTTTGCATGAATTAAATAAATATTTCAAGAAATATATGTGAAAGGTATTTTGTGCCTATTAATTTAGTATTTACATATTTCAAAACGCATGAAGGGAACTTCAAATGTAGTTTAAGTAAAGGTATTTTAAAATGATTTTTAGAAGTATATTTTAGTACTAAGTAACAAAAAAAGAAGTTTATATTTTCGGTATATTTTTCGTGTACTTACAATTATGAATTGTATTTCAAATACACTCAAATTAGAATGTGGTATATTTCAAACGTATTAGTTTTCGCTAAGGGTAGAATCTCTAGAAATGAGGGCAATTCGATTCATAGTAAAAAATGTATACACCTGTAAGCGTCAGTCAACTTAAAACGTCGATAGGATTATTAACGCCCCATAAGTGAAGATATATCTTGTTAGGCTATCCCACTTCCATAAAATCTTTCAAACATCACCTGAATTTCGCGAAAATAACTTCATCCCACTCACTCGTATTTTTTCTCGTCATGATCACCCTAACAAAATCCATATTCCCTTCGCCAGAACTAACTTATATATTATACATTTTCCCCGCTATTATAGGCTACGGCCGACTGAAACGGGCTGTCAAGCGAAATTGCTCTCGCCAGAAACCACGACGATTTTGTAGCATTATTGCGTGAATCATTACCATGACATTCGCTTTGTGTTTATCTTTTTCTTCTTAAAGGGGTACGGAAACGAAAATTTAAATATACAAATTTCGTTCGTAAATGAGTCAAGCGTGACGGATAATAACCGTAAATGATATTCGCTCGTTTGTATTTTGAACGACTGGCTCTATTTTTCGTTCCAAACGGTGCACTCGAGCAAGCGCTCGAAGAGAAGCGAACGGAGAGCGCGATGCGTCATGGGATCTCCGGCAAAAAAAAAAATTCCTTTTTCCCCCATGCAATAGCCATCTGGAACTCCCTTCCCGACGGCGTTGTACTCATTACTGACCCAATTAGGTTTCGCCAGGAAATCTCCTTACACATGAGCTAATCATGCCCAACTAAACCATATCGGTACTTTGTGTTCTTTACTATTGTTATTTTGACTCTCCTTTTTCTATTCTTGTCGTTTTCAAGTGTGAAAGTGTATTTTACTTCTCGTTCACTCCCTCCCTTATGTGATGCCCCACCTGGGGCCTTAAGGATAAATAAATGAAAATGAAATAAAAAAGATTTCTTGCATTTGTGACGTAGCAAGGCTGGCGGGGTTATGCTTTGCCGTTGGTGACGTTGTCAGCGTTTTGGGGGAGGGGGGCCGTCAGCAGCGTCAACGCGTTACAACCGAGCCGTTCGAAGTATCCATGACGGACATTTCACGTGCGAGATCAATCGTGTAATCGTGTTCGTGTGGCCCACTCCAATGGCGCCCCAGGACGATTTCCTTGGGAACGTATGCTTGAACGACACACGTGAGGATGACGACACCGACATCACCCTCTCTGTATTCATTTTGGAAAGCGAACACCAGCCGCCGGAACCCATGTCGGAAACGACGGACGTGCGAGCCGGATCCAGAAGGCACGAAGTTTCTCGTCGTTAGGAAACTCGTTGGTCGGCATATCGCTCTCACCGAGACGTTACCAGGCATCTTGACGTTAAAAAACGCAGGACGGCTTCGAACTTTACAGCAAAATCACAAAAACAACTCGGCGACATTTCCTTTTTTTGTATGGCTGCGCAATTGAAGCGACGGGCGCGCTTGCACAGCCGTACGGTCGGCACTTGCGGTGCGCGAGTGCATGATCGCTCGGGACTCTGACGGCGTAACCGCGGATGGTCGCCCCCCAGCAGGGTTGCCGCTTCTCCTACGACGTAGCCGATTTCGTGGAATATATTTTCTGCTCTTGCCTTTCTGTTTTCTCTAGAAGCCTCATCGTTTGCTCTTTCTTTCCTCTCTCCATTATATCTTCTTTAATTACGTCAGTTCGTCATTCCGGCTTCTTTAACGTGTATCCTGTTGTATATAGTGGGAATACCCTTAGCGAAAAGTCGTTCAAAATCAGTATACTCGAAGTGTACTGAAGTATACTAAAAGTATACTTCCATTGTGGTCTTCGTACTGATTTTATACTTTGAGTGTACTTAAAGTATACTTCCAGTAAAAATGGTGGTGTACTGAAAGTATACTCGTCCGTACAAAACTAGTACATGTAGTAGAATCGTAGTGCCCACGGTAAAAAGTAGTTCAAAATCAGTATACAAGAAGTGCACTGAAGTGTACTAAAGGTCTAATTTCAGTGCTTGCAGTCAGTGTACTCAAATTATAATAACGGGTGTATGTATATATATATATATATATATATATATATATATATATATATATATATATATATATATATATATATATATATATATATATAGTGCGATTTTTAACATCAACACACTAAAAACGCGATAGATAGGCCGATGCCGTTTTCACCGAATAGTTGTGGGGCTCGGCGGACATTAGATGAGTAAATAAACGTCACAGTACGTTGCCGAATTAGCTTTTTTAATTGACAGTGTAATTGACCATGTTGAATTTTCAATTTCAAAGGGGCTATGAATAAACTCTAGCCCAACTGAAACAATTTGCGAAAAGGTGACGAGTTTTGGGTTATTCATAACTACAACTCTGCCTTTCGTCGCCTCATTAAAAACAGCGCGCTGGACAGAGCGCAGGATGCTATTCTTACGTATTCCCTTCAGTCGAACCGCTGGAAGTATGATGCTGGAGCATCCACCAAATGGCACGCTGTCAAAAGTGTGCAACTTCGTTCATGCTGAATGCGACAGCACTTTATGAGGGTTGTGACTTCACTGGAAATTTAAATAATGCATAGAACTCCAGTACGAGAAGTTCTCGCTAACACAAACAAACATGCAATCACCGATATGCCATGTCAAAACCGCTAAGTCACTCTCCACTTTGCCCGCCCCTGCCCCGCGTGGTTCTTGAATCGAGGAAAAAAAGTGTGAAATTTGATAAATAAATATCTGAAAGCCCCTTGCTGTTTCGTGAATAGTTTTGATTGTGTTAGGCTCTAATAACGACTGCCTCTAAAACAGCAATAATAAAAAAAGTAAATTTACGGATTTTAATTACTTAAAAAAATGTTGCCACGGTTATTCTCCCATGTAATGTACGCCGAGTCCCACGACACACATGAAGAGTGCATCAACATGACAGTGAGCCCCCAATTTTCCTGAAACCAGTTGATTAAAAAATACCACCGGGTATAGCTGACATAATGTGACAAAGGGATCCTTCATTTCTTATTTCACTACAGACCACGTGGTCCAAAAGTTCCCCGGGGAAACGACCGGCACTG